CTCGTCCTGCAGCAGGTGGGTGACTACTGCTTCCTTCCAGGCCCTTTCTCCCCGCAGAGTAAGCCCACCTCCCCAGGACCCTGTCCTGAGATCAGGGACCTCACCCAGGTGGTCCAGCCCAAGAAGCCTCCAGCTCAGGCCTTTCCCCAGGTGCCGGCCGTTCAGCTCTTCAAAGCCCTGAAACAGCAGGACTACCTGTCACTGCCCCCCTGGGACATCAGCAGGCCTGGGCAGGTGTGCTGAGACTCTGGAGACCTTGAGGGGGAGGAACAGAGGAAAGGGCCTGCCTTTCCTCCTGCCCTGCCTGGTCCTCCTGCCACCCCTGCTCCCTTCCCTGGTCCTTTCCACAAAGCTGTGGAGAAGCTTCCATGTTGTAATAGATGGAGACCGGAAAAATAAGTTAACCATCTACCTCCTTCCTTGACCTTCAGCAAGGTCAATTTTCTCTCTCTCCCTCCCTTCTTCTCTGCCACACACACACACACACACACACACACACACACTGTTCTTTGAAATTAACTTATTTTAGGTTCTGAATTATTGGAGCTTTATATATATACACACCAGAGAAGGAAATGGCAACCCACTCCAGTACTCTTGCCTAGAGAATCCCGTGGACAGAGGAGCCTGGTGGACTGCTGTCCATAGGGTTGCACAGAGTCGGACACAACTGAAGCTACTTAGCATGCATGCATTGGAGAAGGGAATGGCAACCCACTCCAGTGTTCTTGCCTGGAGAATCCTGGGGACGGGGGAGCCTGGTGGGCTGCTGTCTATGGGGTTGCAGAGTCGGACACGACTGAAGCAATGCAGCAGCAGCAGCAGCGGCGGCGGCAATATACACACACTCATTTCACTTGTCTCCTTTTCCTTTTTACCGAGTTTCCCTGATTTTGCTATTACCTTCTTTCTCTTTCCATGGATTTATCATTAGAGTTAGTTTGAGGTCCGGGCTAAGCCCATTCTGAAGTTCGTCTTGTCTCAGTCAGAGCCTTTTCTGATGCTGACATGCCTGGTTTCGTGGAGGATTGCTGTCTGTCCCTGGTAGGCATGAATGTGCAGATTCCAGCCTGGAGGCAGGAGGCTGGAGGCACAGTGTGGAGGCTTGGGGGTTTCAGACTTGGAAGAGCAGCCCTGGACTCAGCAAGTATCTGTCAGCCCCAGGTGTGGTAGCAAAGCACCAACCTCTACTGTCACTCCAAGAATTGTCACTTCCCAAGGACTTGGCATGGGAAGCACTGTCCTGAACTCATGGGAAACACTGCTAGTCTCTTCGAGGTGACTGGGGGAGCCTCAGGGGACCCCCCAGTCCCTGCATCTGAGCAGTGCAGGTTGCTGATTGAAGTGATCTCCTTCTTATACTGAGGTTAGTGGGGCCAGGGAAAGTTTGAGAGGGAAGCGGAGTTCAAAAACCACGTAGAAAAGTCAGAAAGAATTGCTCAACAAGATAAAATAGAAAACGACCCAAGGACATGGACACTTGAGCCTATAGTCCAGATCTCCCTACTGCCCTCCCTCCAGAAAGACCTTACAACTCCCACCCCCACCAGCCACCTACGAGAGGCTTTTGGTCTATGGTTGGCCTACATTGAGGATCATGGTTCTTTTAAATCTTTGCCTTTCTGATATGCAAAAAATGGCATTAAATTGTTTCAATTTGCATTATTTGGAAACTAACATGTTTGCACATATTTTCCTGTTTCTTGAACATTTGTATTTTTTTTTTCCCCCTGAGCTAAACTCATTAAGATCTCATTGTGTCAGATGTTCTCTTTTTTCTAAGTAACCTTTAAAAAGTATTTAGCTCTGGCCGGCCTTTCGCAGATGGTGCAAATTAATTTTCCTAGTTTGTGGTTTGCCTTTTAATTCTGTTCATCATGCTTTTGAGTGTATTCAATGTAGACTTGTCAAATGAATCTATGGGTGAACTCCTTCGCGGCTCCACTTTTGGTGTCAGATTTGACAAAGGCCTTCCCCACTTGAAAAGTGCATTTGTCCAAAGTTATGTTTTTTCTGGTTCTTTTTGTGTTTCAAAAATGTATGTATGAAATTCTTTTGGAACGTATGCATTTAAGGTGGAGAGCCAGCTTAGACAAGTAGCCCAGATGTTCTGGAATCATTGGTGGAATCACCCATTCTTCATCCATGTATCTGATATAGAAAATCTGTGTATACACTTGGTCAGTTTCTAAACTTTCCTTTTTATTACGTGGTCTTCTCCATGGACCCCACTGCTTTGACTGTTCTAGCTTTATCATATGTTTTAGTAAATGGCAGAGCAAATGTTCTTGTTTCTTTCATCCACAAAATCCCTGTTGATGATGGCATTGTTTGTAGCCGAAGAAAATGATAAACAGTTGAAATCTTCACCCATAGTGAAACTAATCACAACATTTGAGTCCATTCTAAGGTGGAATCCTGTGTGTAAAATGAGTGAAGTAGACCTATGTGCATTAGAGAGAAGTCCAAGATGTGAATTCCAAAATATCTGGAAAAAATTGTTAACTGAAAAAAAATTGTGATAAAATATTTTTATTACAAGACATTAATGTGTATATAAGTGTTTAGGTGGATGTTCAGTGGTGCCGATTGAAAGCACAGTCACCCTAAGGAGGACTGATTCTGTTCAACAGAAGGGCCTTCTGTCTACCACAGTGAGTTAGGGGCAGTTTTGATCAGACTTAAGATGCTGGTTGTAACAGAATGAGAAGCAAGTGGCACTCCCAGGATAAGCCAGGAGAGAGTGAGGGAAAGAGAAAGATGGGCTGGGGGAGAGAAATATAAAGGACACACTCAAGCTAAAAACAAGGAATTCACTATAATCCAAAATTCAAATCTAACTGGGTATCCTGTGTTTAGTCTCTAATAAGAGTAGAGATGAAAGAGACTGAATTCCCCATAAAAAGAAGATGAGAATTATTTTGTTGTTGTGGATTTTTAAAAAATTTTGTTAATTTATTTTTATTTTTAGCTGTGCTGAATCTTCGTTGCTGCTTGGCCGTTTTTCTCTTTGCTGCGAACGAGGTCTTCTCTCTAGCTGCAGCGCGTGGGCTTCTCGTTACGGTGGCCTCTCTTGTTTCGGAGCACTAGCTCTAGAGAGCGTGGGTTTCAGTTGCAGCACATGAGCTCAGTAGATGCAACTCCAGGTTCTAGAGCACAGACTAAGTTGCCCCGAGACATGTGAGACCTTCCCAGACCAAGGATTGAACCCATGTTTCCTGAACTGGTAGGCAGATTCTTTACCACTGACCCACCAGGGAAGCCTAGATGAGCACTATTAAGACTTATGCCTGCCAGGCCCTGCTCCATTGATTTAGGGGATCACAACCCCTTGAGACAAACACTACCTTTATCATATTCTTTTTTGTATGTGGGGAAATGAAAGCACAGGGAGGTTACATACTCACTCCAGGTCAACCAGTCAGTGGGTGGCAGAGGCAGCATGCAAACCTTGGCCCTGTAGCTTAGAGAAAAAAGAAAGCTAGTCATTCAATTGCGTCTGACTCTTTGAGATCCCATCATAGAGATCCCATGAACTCTAGCCTACCAGGCTCCTCTGTCCATGGAATTCTCCAGGCAAGAATATTGGAGTGAGTTGCCAATTCCTTCTCCAGGGGATCTTCCTGACCCAAGGATTGCACCTGGGTCTCCTGCATTGGAGGCGGATTCTTTACTGTCTGAGCCGCTAGGGAAGCCCTGGAGTTTAGAACCTGCCCTCAAAAGCAAGGTCTCCCACCAGAAGGTCCACCTGTGAATGCAAAATGATCCATGTTGCTTGGCAAGACAGAAAAAAATTACAAAATGAGCAGGTTTGGTGGTGGGGTGGGAGCAGGGGATACTGAGCCAGAGCCGAGAATAAAGAAATGTTTTTACTTTAAGTTTAAGTAACTGAAAGTCTCTCAGTCATGTCTGACTCTTGCGACCTTATGGACTATACAGTCCATGGAATTCTCCATGCCAGAATAATGGAGTGAGTAGCCTTTCCCTTCTCCAGGAGATCTTCCTAACCCAGGGGTCAAACCCAGATCTTCCCTCATTGCAGGCAGATTCTTTACCAGCTGAGCCACAAAGGAAGCCCAAGAATACTGGAATGAGTAACCTATCCCTACTCCAGTGGCTCTTCCCAACCCAGGAATCAACCCAGGAATCAACTCCTGCATTGCAGGTGGATTCTTTACCAACTGAACTATCAGGGTAACCCTTTTATCTCTTTGGGAGCTAAATATTAAGGGTGTGGGTTCTCAGTCACTGATGTCTAGAGATACCTTGCAGGTAGGACCGTGTCCTCCTCACCTATCTGCCCTGAGAACCCAGCTCAGAGCTGTACACATGAGTAAGGGAGCACCGAGGGGTTGTCATGACTGGAGATCTCCAGGAAGCTGTCCCCGAGAGGGAAGGAGACACGCAAAGGACCTACTGGGAGTGACAGCACAGCGGGGAGGGTGAGGCAGAGCTGAACAGGAGCCGTTAGGGTTTCCAGACCTGGATAGATATCCACCAGCCTACAGGGAGCTCCCGAGCAAAAAGGGCCTGCTGAAAGAGCCCCACAATGGACAGAAATGACCAGGCCCCTGGGCCCTCATGATGTTGGCTCATGATATTTTCTTAATAGACTTTACTTTTTAGAGAGGGTATCCCTGGTGGCCCAGTGATAAGGAATCCGCCAGCCAATGCAGGAGACATGGTTTCGATCCCTGGGTCGGGAAGATCCCCTGGAAAAGGAAATGGCAACCTACTCCAGTATTTTTGCCTGGGAATACCCACGGACAGAGGAGTCTGGCAAGCTACAGTCCATGAGGTGGCAAATGGGCAGACACAACTCAGCAACTAAACCACAACAACAACAATTTTTTTCAAGAAATTTTAGGTTTACAGCAAAATTAAGCAGAAAGTACAGAGATTTCTGATATATCCTCTATCCCACATATGCACAACAGCCCCCTCTAGCCACATCTCTGGTTCACCAGAGTACATTTGTTATAATTGATGAACCTACACCCATGCATCGTTATCATCCAAAGTTCATCTATAGTCCATGGGGTCGAAAAGAGTTGGACATGACTGAGCAACTAACACACACCTTGGTGCTGAACATTCTACTGGTTTGTTGTCCACTTCTCCTCCTGCCTTCAATCTTTCCCAGCATCAGGGTCTTTTCAAGTGAGTCAGTTCTATGCATCACGTGGCCAAAGTATAGGAGTTTCAGCTTCAGCATCAGTCCTTCCAATGAATATTCAGGACTGATTTCCTTTAGGATGAACTGGTTGGATCTCCTTGCAGTCCAAGGGACTCTCAAGAGTCTTCTCCATTACCACAGTTCCAAAGCATCAATTCTTTTGTGCTCAGCCTTCTTTATAGTCCAACTCTCACATCCATACATGACCACTGGAAAAACCATAGCCTTGACTAGATGGACCTTTGTTGGCAAAGTAATATCTCTGCTTTTTAATATGCTGTCTAGGTTGGTCATAACTTTCCTTCCAAGGAGTAAGGGTCTTTTAATTTCAAGGCTGCAATCACCATCTGCAGTGATTTTGGAGCCCAGAAAAATAAAGTCAGCCACTATTATTATTCACTTTCTTATTATTGTTATGAGTTATGTGGACCATTTGGATAATGGTCCACTATCAAATATGTCTTTTTCAAATAATTTCTCCCAGTCTGTGGCTTGTATTTTCATTCTCTTGAGCAAGTACTCTTATACTATTTTGGTGGGAAGTAGTTTTTTAGACAACATGGAGCAAAATGAAAAACACGTATCTTTTAACCTTGCAATTTTGTTTCTAAAAATATTTGAGAAACATGACCAAAAAGATAGGTATATAAATGTTTATTGCAACATTATTTGTCTTTCAGAAACAGAAACCACATGGAAGCAACAGTGTGTTCCCTAAGTCTGGGGTAGGGAGAGGTGTGATGGGTGTACTCCACCCTGTGGAATACTATATAGCCATCAAAAGGGAAGGTTATTGTGAAAAGATTTCCAAGCTACATTAATTAGAAAAAGCAAGGTCTAGAACAATCTGTTGAGTAGAATCATATTTTTTAGGTGGGGAGCCTGGAGGGAAGTAGTCAATCTAAGCTTAAGCTTATAAATGCAAGGGGAGACAATGAGAGCACACAGCCACCCAAGACTGGGGTTTCCTCTAGTGAGGGCAGGGAATCAGAATATTTTTATTCTACACCCTTTCAAACTGATCTTTTAATGTTTATGTGCTACTTGTGTAAAATAAAACTGATATTTTTAAAATATTATGATTGTGTCAAAAGCAAGGGAAGTGAAAAAGAAAAGAAAAATATCAAATATCTACTTATTACTGTGAGAGCAAACAGAACCATAAGGCCAGGATTCTCAGATTGGATTACATATGTTTTAATGCAGCTGTAGTCTGTTTTCAAAACACAGACACCACACAAAGGGTTTGGAATTTAAAAATAGTAGGATGGAAAAGGTAAATGCTAATAACAACAACAAAATGCAGATGGCAGTGTTAATATCAGATTGAACAATATTTAGGTCCAAGTATATTAAATAGAACAAAGAAAGATACTTACAGCAAAAATAAACAACAACTTTGAAGATACAGTGATCATCAACTTTTTAAAACTGAACAGCACAGCAAGACATGGAAGCAACCTAAATGTCCATCCACAGGGGAATAGATAAAGAAGAATGTGGTACATCTATATGATGGAATATTACTCATCCATCAAAAAGAATGACATAATGCCATTTGTAGCAACATGAATGGACCTAAAGACTGTCATACTGAGTGAAGTAAGTCAGACAGAGAAGAGAAATACTATATGACATCCCATATTTGAGAAATCTAAAAGAAAATTATACAAATAAATTTACAAAAAAAAAAGAGATCCACAGACTTAGAGAATGAACTTATGATTGCTGGGGGAAGGGATGGAATTTGGGATGGACATGTACACACTGCTATATTTAAAATGGATAACCAACAGGGACCTACTGTGTAGCACATTGAACTCTGCTCAAGGATATATGACGACCTGGATGGGAGGGGAGTTTGGGGGAAAATGGACACATGGGTATGTATGGCTGAGTCCCTTCACTGTTCACCTGAAATTATCATGACATTATTTGTTAATCAGCCATACCCTAAAACAAAATAAAAAGTTAAAGAGCTAAAAAAAAAAAAACCTGAATGGCATAGGGCAATCCATAAAGCAAATTCTTATAAATTTAGGAGAATCTGACAAAACTTTGTTAGCAAATGTAATTCTTTCATATTTGGCAGATCTCATAGATAAAATATTTACAAGGGTTCAAGAAAGTGGCCTGGTACAGGGCACACAGTGGACTCTCAACAAAAACGGGTGAATGAGTGAGGGAAACAATTTAAAAGCTGACAAAGAGCATTGGATTTTATACCAGGCACTTTACTCTCTTAATCCTCCTGCCGACCTTGTGACATGGGCATGATTATCATCCCATTTTACAGATGAGGAAGCAGAGGCACAGAGAGGGTTGGGAATTTGCCTAAAGGTAGAAAGTGGCTGAACTGGGGTTTGAACTCAAGCAGTGTAACTACAGAATCAGAACTACTACCCTCTCCTGCCTCTGGAAATAACTTACATATGACAATAATTAACAAGTGAGATTATATAGGTGAATAAGTTTATTCATAGCTGTATAATATACATATGTATATAATATGCAAAGAAAGATGATCTTTTCTTGCTTTTTAAAATTTTATTCCTAAGGAATAGATAGATAGACCGATCTACTTAGTCACAAGGAAAAGATTAAAGAAATTCCAGAGAGGAGAATTTTCTATATTGTGGTTACATTTTCTGCCACAATAAAAATAAAAATCAGTAATAGAGGGGATCAAAGAAGAATCTCGATTGCTTGCTTATAATTAATCTTAATTGAGAACAATTTCTGGAAGTGAGGGCTTAGACTAAAGAAACTTGGCTGAGATGCCTTTGCCAGGCTGAGCGTGATGGACAAAGTATAACTCAAATCTTCAAAGAGTGAAGCCAAGGCAGGATCCAGCGTGACTGAGGAGTGACAGACAGGCCTGGACTGGCCTGACAGACGGGCTTGGTTCTTCTCTTGACTCAGTTGAGGCTCTGCATCTGCATTAAATCCCGGACTTCTTTTCCCCAGAATCTTTCATGTGTCTAGAGAAGGCTTCCCTCATAGTCTGGTAAAGAATCTACCTGCAATGCAGGAGACCTGGTTCAATCCCTGGGTGAGGAAGATCCCCTGTCAGGGGGGCTGGGGTCTGCTCCATGGGGGAGGTCCAAGGTGGTCAGAGTCATGTTAGGCTCTGATGATGAATCACAAGCATCTTTAGGGTCTACAATTTAATTATTATAAACGTGAGTCTCCACACTTTAAATGCTGACATTTTTCTGGGTAATAACAGTTTCCCAGGACACTCAGCACCAGATCACTCCTGGGTTTCCTCTCCTACACTCTCGTAATGCATAATGAACACTTGTTTGGATAATATCCAACTGTTGGAAAAATTCTTAATCTTTCGATGCACAGCTGAAGATCTGTCAGTAAAAGTTGCTGGCAATACATTTCTAGAAAGAATTCTGTACCCAGGATTAATGGTTCAGAAAGATCCTAAAACCTTTATCTTTGACTATAGAAAATGGTTGACAGTCTAGATCAGTCATTTCTAAAGCATTTTGTTTAGGCTTTAGCCTCTGAGGACTCAACACTATGAGGAATGGCCTTCCTAAGTCATTCTTGTGCGACATCTGCTATTTTGAGATTTGAATAAGACGAAACAGTGTGATTGGGTGCCTTGTCTATCTGTAGGACTGGCTTCCTTTCTTCTTTGCTTCATCATCTTCAGGGTGTCTGCCTCAAAGATAATTTATCATGAATCTGAAACTCAGTTTTGAACTTATTTGTCTTTGTGAAATTTTGACATGGCTAAGCTGACATTTTGCTTCTAATTTATTCACACAAGATATGAACAGTTGGGAACTATAGTCAATATCCTGTAATAATGGAAAAGAATATAAAAAAGAATGTATATATGTGTATGAGGCACTTTGCTGTACAGTGGAGACTGGTACAACATTGTAAATCAACTATATACACTTCAATAAAAAATAGTACAAAAAAAGGTGTGGCAATTCTCACATTGGAGCTCTTCTTGAAGGGTATATCACCTAAGTGGAATTAAACCACTAAAAAAGGAACTAGAATTCTTGAAAGGACTCTGTTCCATGTGAGGAATATTGCTACTCTAAAATTTCTACAGTGATGAGACATAATTAAATCTCTATTCCTGCCTTTTATTGTGATTTCAATTTTAGAAGCTCAAACCATCTATAATAGTCTTCCTGAAATTATCAAGCAAATACACTCTCTTAATATTTGTATTAACCATCAATCTAGTCTCCTAGTCAATGATTTAAAACCCTTAATTATTATTTTTCTTCAGAAAATTAACAGCTTTCACCACTATTAATTAGTGCAGCCTTTTACTTTTGAAATAATAAATATATGTTTATACTTCAAGTGACTGATTCAATTTCAGCATAAAAAGTGTGTAAGCAAAGGAGAAAAAAGAGAAGTAGATGGAGTAGCTACACATTTTAAAAGGTAAAACTATGATAAATTGTTTGGTGACATATCTTGGATGATAAAACAATAAAGAGAGGACTTCCATAGTAGTCTAGTGGTTAAGACTCTGAGCTTCCAATGCAGGGGGCGTGGGTTCGATCTCTGGTCAGGGAACTAAGATCCCACATGCTGCACAGTGCAGCCAAAAATTTTTTTAAAAAAATATACATCTATCTATCTATCTATCTATATATGTTTGCAGGGCAGTAGTAGAGATGCAGACACAGAGAACAGACTTGTGAACATAGCAGGGGAAGCAGAGGGATGGACAACTTGAAAGAGTAGCGTTGAAACATATATATCACCATATGTAAAATGGATCACCAGTGGGGATTTGGTGTATGACACAGAGAGCACAACTTGGTGCTCCGTGACATCCTAGGTGGGTGGGATGGAGGGAGGGAGGTTCAAGAAGAAGGGGACATATGTATACCTATGGCTGATTCATGTTGATGTATGGCAGAAACCAACACAATATTATAAAGCAATTATCCTCCAGTTAAAAATAAATACATGTTAAAAAAAGAGAGAGAGAAATTCTAAAGTGATGGACTCTGCCCTAGAGGTCCATGTCACCCCCAAGCCCCAACAACTCCTTATCTCCCTGGGCCCTTTCTGGTCTGAGTCAGCCCTGTGTCTAAGCAACCTGCATTCTAATTTCTCAAGGCACACGCTGAACGCTTCCTTAAACTCATGCAAGGCTATTAATTCAAAAGAATCAAATTCTATGGTAGAGAGGAAACAATGGAAAGGTCAGGACTAAGAGGAAGGCTGGCCCCTAAGATCTGTGCATTTGAAGCTAGGAACTTGGGATGCAGACCTGGACTCACCCTGAAACCTTGACAGGTCCTTGCCAATGGTGATAGCTGACTGGACAGAGGATAAGACAGCTCCCCAGATCAGGGCTTGGGTCACAGGCTTCCCATGGCTGGGCAGGGGCCCAGCTCAGGCAGGCCACTCTGAGCCCAGCCCTCCACACCCACCTCTCCTGCCTCTTGCCTCCTGACTCCTCTATCAGCACCACCTCTGCCCACTGGCCCTGCATTAGCAGCAGCTCAGAGCCTTGGGCTACACTTGTAGGATTTGTCCATCCAGGTCTCTCTGTGCTCAGTGGTGGGTCCTCTTCTCCCCTTGACTGAGTCACCTGTGCCCCACCTTCCCATTCCCTCCTTCCTCCCACTGCATAGCTGGAGGCAGTGATCCATGCTCCATCCTAAGACCAGCCCTGGCCCTAGGCAGCAGGGATGTACAGGGCCAGAGCAGTTTTTG